GGATCCTTTAACCGACAAAGCTTGTTTCTAATTGAGTTTGTGGGTTTGAATGCCATTTTTATTCCTGCCTTGTTAAGAATTCTGCGTAAGGCTTCTGAGGTTCCTCCCTTGTATGGAATTACTACTGATGATTTAGATTTCTTATTATTGGTGTCGTCATTAATATTATTATTATTGTCACTATCGCTACTATCATTATTTATTTTATTTTTACATTTCCTTACATATTTCTTGATTAATTTATCCGGGTAATTATTAAGTTTCAAAGCCTCTTTTATGTGTATCAGTTCCTGTTTTAGATTTTCTTTGGTACTACTTAGTTTTTGTGCTCTGTCATTTAAACATTTCACCAATCCTATTTTTACTGACATAAGATGGGACGATCGGAAGTCTAAATATCTGTTTGAGTGTGTGGGTTTCCTGTAAACACTAGTGTTTAAATTCCCATCTTTTTTCCTCTTTACGTTGCAATCTAACATTGGGAGCTCCCCTTCCTGATTTTCCAATTCATAAGTGAATTGAATTGCTTCAACCTTCGAGTTGATGTGTTCGAAAAACCTATCTATATCTTGTGTTTTAAGTACAGTGAATGTGTCATCTAAACACCTCCACCATACTTTTGGGGTGGGGGTGAACGTTTCAATCGCTATGTTTTCCCAATTATCCATGAATATATCTGCTACAACTGGGGATATTGGTGATCCCATGGCAACTCCTTCAGTTTGTTTGTATATTTTCCCTTGAAATTTAAATACTGTGGAAGTCAAGCATAGCTGTACTCCCAGCATTATGTCCTCAAGTGGCACTTTTGTCCTAAGTTCGAGTTCTTGGTCAGAAATGAGTTCGTTTCTGACTGCCTCCATAGCCATATTTATTGGTATACGTGTGTATAAACTGATAATGTCAAAACTAACCATTTTTTTCTTCATTATCTAATTTTAAATTATCTAATCTATGTTTCAGTTCATAAGAATTAGTTAGTCTAGATTTCGAATGGATTTTTAGGGGATTTAATACCATGGCTAAATATTTAGATAATTCATATGTAGGTGAATTTCTAAAATCAACTATAGGCCTAATGGGGTATCCTGACTTATGAACTTTAACAACACCATACATCCTACTGGGGTTATTAGTTTTTGGCATCAAATTAAACCACTTAGACTCACCTAGAAACGGCTTCATTCGGCGTATAAGGTCCGCTGTGGATTTCTTAACTTTATTCATAACTGTATCTATTGGTTTATTAATTTCCACATATGGTCCTGTTTGTATATGAGTATTCACCTTGTCCAAATAGTCTGATTTGTCTAATACTACTGTTGCATTTCCTTTGTCTGACTTTGTGATAACTATATCCTTGTTATTCTTAAGGTGTTTCAGGGCTTCTATCTCTTGTTTTGTCAGGTTGGGTTTTTCACATTTTTGTCGTTTTAATGTCAGTGCACACTGTGCTCGTATTTCGTCAGCCGTGGTTTTGTCTATCCCACTTAGTGCTATTTCTATTTTAGGGATGACATCCTCAGGTTTCAGTTTGTCTACTGATACATTGAAATTTAGTCCCTTTTCCAATACACTTATTTCCGTAGGACTTAATATATGTGTTGAGAGATTGATAACCCACTTTGATTTATCGATCGCCGTTGACTTTGGATTGTTGACTTCATCATTCTGAGATGAAGATTTCTCTTCTAATAATTTGTTTAACTTTTTGATTTGACTATTTTTTGACTTTTTGAAAGTTGCTGATTTTGCATTACTGGAGGATTGTGTTATAAGATTATAGTCTACATTGTTAACTGTTCCTTTTAGCTTTTGTTTTAATTGCTCAATTTCAGATCTGATATGTTGCAATTTTTTAACGATTCTGTGGATCTCTTCTTTCAGGCATAATTTTTGTAGACCTTGTATTCTGCTTCTAAATCTGTCCGTCGGAATTCGAGCTAGAGAAGGAAGCAGAATACAAGGTCTACAAAAATTATGCCTGAAAGAAGAGATCCACAGAATCGTTAAAAAATTGCAACATATCAGATCTGAAATTGAGCAATTAAAACAAAAGCTAAAAGGAACAGTTAACAATGTAGACTATAATCTTATAACACAATCCTCCAGTAATGCAAAATCAGCAACTTTCAAAAAGTCAAAAAATAGTCAAATCAAAAAGTTAAACAAATTATTAGAAGAGAAATCTTCATCTCAGAATGATGAAGTCAACAATCCAAAGTCAACGGCGATCGATAAATCAAAGTGGGTTATCAATCTCTCAACACATATATTAAGTCCTACGGAAATAAGTGTATTGGAAAAGGGACTAAATTTCAATGTATCAGTAGACAAACTGAAACCTGAGGATGTCATCCCTAAAATAGAAATAGCACTAAGTGGGATAGACAAAACCACGGCTGACGAAATACGAGCACAGTGTGCACTGACATTAAAACGACAAAAATGTGAAAAACCCAACCTGACAAAACAAGAGATAGAAGCCCTGAAACACCTTAAGAATAACAAGGATATAGTTATCACAAAGTCAGACAAAGGAAATGCAACAGTAGTATTAGACAAATCAGACTATTTGGACAAGGTGAATACTCATATACAAACAGGACCATATGTGGAAATTAATAAACCAATAGATACAGTTATGAATAAAGTTAAGAAATCCACAGCGGACCTTATACGCCGAATGAAGCCGTTTCTAGGTGAGTCTAAGTGGTTTAATTTGATACCAAAAACTAATAACCCCAGTAGGATGTATGGTGTTGTTAAAGTTCATAAGTCAGGATACCCCATTAGGCCTATAGTTGATTTTAGAAATTCACCTACATATGAATTATCTAAATATTTAGCCATGGTATTAAATCCCCTACAAATCCACTCGAAATCTAGACTAACTAATTCTTATGAACTGAAACATAGATTAGATAATTTAAAACTAGATAATGAAGAAAAAAATGGTTAGTTTTGACATTATCAGTTTATACACACGTATACCAATAAATATGGCTATGGAGGCAGTCAGAAACGAACTCATTTCTGACCAAGAACTCGAACTTAGGACAAAAGTGCCACTTGAGGACATAATGCTGGGAGTACAGCTATGCTTGACTTCCACAGTATTTAAATTTCAAGGGAAAATATACAAACAAACTGAAGGAGTTGCCATGGGATCACCAATATCCCCAGTTGTAGCAGATATATTCATGGATAATTGGGAAAACATAGCGATTGAAACGTTCACCCCCACCCCAAAAGTATGGTGGAGGTATGTCGATGACACATTCACTGTACTTAAAACACAAGATATAGATAGGTTTTTCGAACACATCAACTCGAAGGTTGAAGCAATTCAATTCACTTATGAATTGGAAAATCAGGAAGGGGAGCTCCCAATGTTAGATTGCAACGTAAAGAGGAAAGAAGATGGGAATTTAAACACTAGTGTTTACAGGAAACCCACACACTCAAACAGATATTTAGACTTCCGATCGTCCCATCTTATGTCAGTAAAAATAGGATTGGTGAAATGTTTAAATGACAGAGCACAAAAACTAAGTAGTACCAAAGAAAATCTAAAACAGGAACTGATACACATAAAAGAGGCTTTGAAACTTAATAATTACCCGGATAAATTAATCAAGAAATATGTAAGGAAATGTAAAAATAAAATAAATAATGATAGTAGCGATAGTGACAATAATAATAATATTAATGACGACACCAATAATAAGAAATCTAAATCATCAGTAGTAATTCCATACAAGGGAGGAACCTCAGAAGCCTTACGGTTAAAGGATCCTGTAGAGCCCTTAAAACAAAACAATTTATATCAGTAAAAAGTTTGAGCGTTGTGGATTAGATCAAGTAAAGTATAATTATATTTTAATAGTTTACACACAATGATAAGTTTTGTTATTGGTAATATTTCGAGCAAAATTACTGCCCGTGTTCACACCAGTGTTGGAATTGTTTGATTCACACATTTATGATTTGTACTCATATATATAGTTCATTATTTTTGCTCATTCATATTTTTTTTTTTGTATTTGAGTTGTATTCCAAGTTCATTCATGTTTTTGTATCCAGAATTATATTCCAAGTTGTTGATAGTTGTACTGAGTCACCCTTGTTACATGTATCCGGTGTGACTTTAATGAATATCGATTCTGTTATAAGTCTTTCTTTCCATTTGTTCATGTTAGTTTTTAGAATACACACATTGTCCCAATCGATATTGTGGTTTTTGTCCCATTTAGTTTATCTCATACCCTGTAATGATTGTCAGGTCAAATACATAGGTCAAACTAGTAGAACAGGGGCAGTCAGACTAGCTGAACATAAAAACCTAGCAAAATCTCGATTGGTTGACCCGAATAAGATAAGAAATCTAGAGAATAGTTCAGCTATAGCACTACATGCAGTTACACACAACCACACAATAGGATGGGATAGGATGACAGTTTTAAAATCTAATGTCACAGGGTATAGGGAGAGATTGATAACAGAAGCTTTGTTTATCGAATCAACTACAAATACATGTAATAGGAATGATTCATCACCTGTCCCCGATATCTGGAAAATTCTACTACCCAAACGACAAATAGGAGAGAACAAAGAAAACTATAGAACTCAAGTGTCAAAGTCGTGTGATTATAATTGATATGATTATGAACAATAAATTTTGTTCGAAACGTCATCCAGTAAATAATACTGTTTCACTGTGTGATATATCAAATAAACAAACTAATATGGAATTACCTACTACCACAGTGCCCAAGTTTTACACATATATGAATATCAAGTTCATTGATTTTGCATTTACACCACACTAACGAGTAGCCAAGGGACAGAAAACCCAGATTGAGGGTTGTTTGGATTTTGTACAATCTGTCCCATTATGGGAAGATTATTTCTATCCTAAATTTGCAACTGATATTTAAATGTTGTGATGGCTTTATTTCGGATATATTTTTTTTTCAATTATTTTATGTATTTTTACAGATCTATGGATATACTTGCACTTTACAAGAAAGATGACTTACCTTTTGTACGCATTTCGGCTCCTATGGTTCGATATACAAAGTGAGTGTATACTTTGGGGAAATTTTGTAACCACTGATTCTTTTGCATCATTTCAGCTGACCAGACGCGCTACATTAGCTAGGAATGAGTTTGGTAGTGAATTCTCACTACTTGAAACAATTTTGCGTATAATTGTTTCAATTAAGTTTGATGTTGTCACAAACCGAAATCATTTTGAAAGGTCTTTTAAGACCAAGGACCACTGCACAATAGTTTCACTCTGGTTTGAATCTCTTCAGAGTAATCACTTAATTTTATCCGATTCACTTATAAGACTGTAAATGTCATCTCACTCGTTACATCGTTTAGCTTACATGCTAATCTCACTGATCTGGTCACTTTTTGATATGATCACCAGGCGATAAGCATATCAAAAACGAGTACACGATATTGACATCAGTTAACAAACTCTGACTAACAGCTTTATTGTTGACACGTTACTATGTATTGGATAATACCAACCAATCGGTTGGAAGCACAGACATATGTTTCGTATTCACTAAGACCAATCAGCGAGAATTACTAATACCTCTCCCAAGATTTTGACATATGGCCAATTCATACATAACATGTTTTTGGAGACCCACACTTTCTACTTGTTTCTTGTGAATGTTTTTAATTTCTGTGCAGTGCATGATTGATGCGGACTTTGATTGGACACTAGGTCGTGACTAACGTCATGTGTCTAGTTCTTCCTTTGGTTTAGATTGAATTTGATATTTACCTAAAACTTCTTTACAGTACAATTATTCCATTGCGTTTTTTTTTTTTTTTTTTTTTTGTATTCAGATTGCCATTCCGTCTACTTCTTCGGCAATATGATGTGGATCTAGTTCATACTCCTATGATACTGGCTGATTCATTTATTCGATCTGAGAAAGCGAGAAATGTAGAATTCACCACTTGTCCAGGTAAAAAAAATAAATAAACTTTTATCTTTCTTACAATATGGCTACGTGCTCTGACAACTAAATGGAATAGCATTTCCGTGGTAACACTAAAAAATCATGATATTAAAAATGATTTATAGAGAATATTTTTGCTTACGTGAAAGTCAGATTTCTAGACTATCATTAAATATTGAAGAGGCTGTGTTAACTGTAGGCATTTACTGTGGTAGATTGTCGGCAAAGGTAACTCATCAGCTTAACTACTTCATTTCTGACTGTTGGATGCTGACTTAAAATCCACCCCCACACACACTTGATTTCAACGATGAAAACAGACTAAAGTCAAAGGAAGTCACACATCATGTGCAGCTTAATACATAAAAGTCTATGTCAGGGAATTTATTTGCCTTTAAGAGAAATCCTTAAACTGTTCTAATTTGCAGAAATCACTTGACAAAGTACTTGAACAATTGAATTAACGAGCATCGATTGCTGATAACTGGTCCTACTTTTTAGTTAATTCCCAGCGAAGTAGGAAAATGATGTAGTTGACATGACTTTGGTCGATGGCCCACTGTCATATCACTCTGCTACGACAGTGTGTCATTTGTTCCAAGGAATAATTACATCGGGTCTATACTCAAGTTCATAATTGAAAAGTAAATATTCAGAAATAGCGTGATTTCTAGTATTTAGCCACTTACCCAACAGTGGTTCATTTGAATTTCTAGTCGTTATTTTAGCATCATGCATAATTGATTTTCTGGTTCTAATCGCCTGTGTTCTTAGAATCTTTCTGATAACGAGAGGATGTGGAGCTGTCACTCTTTGGTCTAGGCGCTTGACTTCCAACCAACGGGTGATGGGTTCAAACTTCTTTCCACGCACTAGGGTTGGAACAGACCTGGTCAGTATAATCAGCTCTCAGGAGATAGGTGTGGCTCATTGTCAACTGCATGGTATTGCAGTTACTTGTTTAGAAACAGTTACAAAGAAATCAACCTAAATGGCATACTTCTTAGGAACCTAAAATCTACACCTTATTTAATTTACTAGATTGAAGAATTATGCAGAACTTGTGTAGTTTTTAACTCTGCTATTGAATGCCTCTTACAGAATATGAATGTTCCATGGACTTCTAAATTACATACACGGTTTATTATTGTCCAACTAATAGTTTTATGTGATTTATTCATGTACATCAAAACTATGTGCTAGGTTGGTTGGCTCCATGGCTATTCACCTTCATTTATATTGAAGCCTATTAAATGTCGTTCATCGTCTAACCTATCTAGGATTATACTCTTTTTTGTCGAAATTCTTATAGCTTATAACAAGCAGATAATTTATGCATGTTATGCAAGCGTTCTGATAAAATTCGAAAGTCCAAGAATACCCTGGAAAAAGATATAATTGTGTTTCTCGCCTAATAAATACCAACTTTCTGTGTGAAAAAAAGGTCCATGTTGATTTCTGCGTTCTATCTCCCGTGTGAAGTGGTATAATGAGGTTAGGCGTCGAATGTTGGGTAACCAGGGGAAATCATTCGACGAGGTTGTGAAGTTACATCGGTTGAGATTATCAAGATATGTGTTACGCATGCCTAGCCATCGATCGCCTTCCTCGACGGGCAATGTTAGGAAGTTGTAGACTTCCTTGTTTGTGTCTTCGGGATGGTAAAAACCAATGAAGGCTGGAGACAATTGGTGATATGGCTCAAACTCGTTTTCGATGACAGCGTGGATGCATTCACTCCTTGTGACTCATAATATCTAGTAAAACTATATATTTCCTCCATATTACTATTCTTTTTGCTTCATATTTCTGTTTATTGACCCTCTTTTGAATCTGTCCTTACTGTCTTCTCTTAGTTTGTGTGGTACATTGAGTGTGGCAACTTGAATTGCTGCACATCTGTGCAAAGTTCTGCATTGAAACCAAACAGGCATGTTGATTCTGTTCTCGAAAAAGCCCAATAACTCTGAGCTCATTGACCCGTTCTATTTGGTCAAGAATTCTATTAATTTTCTGAATATTGTTTGACTGTCCTCATTATGCCCACTGTCCAATACACTGGAGGAAATCGCACTGTTTAGAGCCTGCGAACGTTTTCATCTCAGGTTTTTTTTGTTTTGTGTTCAAAAATGTGGACAATAGTTCCTCTCTGTTCTTCCATTGAACGTGCTTTGGCATGTTCATTTCAACTGGTACATGCAATTTGAGGTAATATGAAGTGATATTTTGTCCACTTTTGAACCTGAGGCGAAATAAATCGCGGTTATTAAACAGTGCGATTACATACCATCCACACTCGTCATATTGTGGACGATTTTTTTCTCTCAGTCGATCACTGACTGAGGACATCTCACATTGGTAAAAAAGACTTTTATTCGATTTATGTGTTAATATTTTCCACCTGTATTACAGGCAAGATAACTGTATGCCTATTTAAAAATTGAGTAGTGCAGTTTACTGTCTGCTATCCAACTTTCACACATGAACAGTTAATGTGATTATACAAAAACTGTTGACAAAATATTTCATATTACTTGACAAGTAGTGGCTTGTAGTAGAATCTAGAATATGCTTTTCTTCTCATCGAGGACTCATTAGTCTGATGGGACTGCATTCTACTGAGCCATAGTGTTCCCAAATCTTTCAGACTCCGAATCACCTGTTGAGTTAATTGGCTTTTCGTATTAACTATGTCATAAGTATTGTTCGTCATCAAGTAATCAGTGACTTTCAGTCATTATAAATGCATTTTAAAAGTTCCCATTGAGCCACATAAAAGAAAAGACATTCAGCAAAGAGTTACTCTTTCCGGCGATATCATTCTTATATATATATATATATATATATATATATATATATAAATCACACAGTGTTATACAGTAATATTAACTGTATAACACTGTGTGATTTATCAAAATAAAATCTAATCCATAATGGAGCTGATGAAAAAGTTCAATATGTTCTTCGAATTCTCGTCATTGTTGGAGATAATGAAAGTGTCATTCGCGCATCGCTTGTAAAACCCAAAGTTTTCAATCATTTTCTTTACATATGTGTCTTCTAGTTTTAACATGAAAAAATCTTCAAGCAACGGGCCAAGTGTTGAGCCCAAAGCTATACCATCTTTTTTGTCGAAATATTTCTTTATTGAAGTAGAACTGGACATTTAGGGTGCATCTCAACAGTAGTTCCCTCAAACATGCAGTAGGTATACCAATGTTCATCTTCCTCTTTTAATCAATATTTTTCACATCTACAGCATATTGTTTCAGTTAGTGGGGACGTTCTTAAACAATGATACCACATCTAATGAGAAAATGGCTAGATTAGAAGCACTGAGGTTTTCAATGGAACTGACAAAATCTAGGGAGTCTCGGAGTGAGTCACAGGTCTAGTAGTTATATCGACAGTGAGTCGAAGAAGTATGTCTTTCTTGTAAACTTTCAGTAATAAAATCAGGGTGTGTATCACGTAGACAGCCTTAAAGAATCGAAGGTTTCATCGTCAATAAATGAATGACCCCCTATGATGATCTTTTATGATTAGAATTTCCAGCCTAGTAGACAATTCATTACGCAAATAATTAGTCGGTATTCACCGATTGCTTAACTCGCAAATTAACTAGTAGTTTTCATGTTTATTCGCCAACTTTTTTACTAATTCATATATATATATTGTTTTGCTGATTGATTTATTATAGAAGATAGACCACTGATTGTACAGCTAGCGTCAAATGATCCTTGTGAATTCACTATGGCAACTGAAATGCTTGCACCATATTGTGATGGGGTGGACTTGAATTGTGGTTGTCCACAATCGTAAGTTGGTATATTTATTTGTTTTAAAGAAACAATGCATTAGAATTTGTTTTGCATATTTCAGTTATAGAGCTTAAATTACCACTATGTATTCATAACACATAGAGGTGATTAATACCATGTGAAATTTTGCTAAAACCTTGTGAAATTACTTGAATTAGCTTGTACATTTATTAGATATCGCGTTTGCTGAACTCAGATTTTGATTTTGAGGTAGTTTGGCTGACTGCTCATAAGTTCCATATTACCTTCAGATGGTTAACTAGTTGTTTTCCATTCCGGTTCCACTCGAGGGCTTGGCACATAATGTCAATCAACTGCACTCTTAGTGTTATAGTCAATTCACCTCTACTTTCTTTTGCATATATGTTGGGCAATAGGTTCTTCGTTGCTTTTCCTTTCTGTCCATCATTAGTTAGTTTCTGTTCGGTTGATTTTTAATTTTAGCCCTAGCTGTAATTTGATGCTAGGAAGGTACACACCAGCTTCCTTTCGAGTTAATCTCCATAAAATCTAGTCTCAACAAATTTAGGACTATATGACAATGGTTAACCATATACTCTAAATTTCCACCGACATCTATTCTCATTTGCACGTTATATCTCACTGGGTTGTAAGAAGTTAACAAGCAAAGCCTAGTCCATAACTGTGAAAACGATTTCTATTTGACGAAATTAAATTATTGCACGTCTACTGTTCGCTTACACATAAAGTTCTCCTCTGGGGGAAAAAAATTATACGAGCTGTTCATCAGAACTGTTCTGACAACACAGGGGTATTCAAGAAAATTTAGAAGGTGAAAGTTGATGTCATGAAATGCTGATATTCAATTTTTAAAGCTTCCTGTAAACGTGTCCTCATGAGAGCTAAACAATATTTTTCTTTCTCAAAATGGAATCTTTTATGATCTTATCTCAGCTTCAGTTTATGATTAGCCTTTTGTCATAAAATAACTGAGTAGATGCATACGAAAACGTTAATGGAAATAATTATTATCAGTGTTGGGACTATTTCAGCGTGGAATTGATTTTTCTCTTATTAAACGTGTTTTAGGGAAAGTCTACGCTAGGTCATGACAATTTTCTTTATCAAAGTGGCACTATATATATATATATATATATGCAATAAGTTTAAGATGTTTTGATTAGTTTCCTTCTTGATATTTACTATTTCAGTTGGGCAGTCGGTTGTGGTATAGGATCAGCATTATTGAGAGAACCAGAAAAAATTGCCAGTATTGTACGTGCTGCCCGAGATGCGGTTCCACGATGGCGTACATTAAATGACAGTGACTGTTCAATGCTATGTGAAACTAACGATACAGAAGAGTTGTCAAAGTTGAATGAAAGTAAAGAAGTTCGAAGAAACATTCATCAGGTGACACGATTCCAAGGTCCATTTTCAGTTTCTGCTAAACTTCGTATACCTACTTCTTCTAGTAGATCTGTTGGAGGTGAATCATGCGATCCTGTAAGTCATAATATTTCATATTAGTCTATACATATGATATACTAACCTACTAGTACATTCATTTGTTCAATTGATTGCATCTATTTTTGCAGTTTTGTTTAGAAGCCAATGTTTTTGTTAAAGATTCATTGTCTTAAGGTTGTTTATGCATTATTCACAAGATTCGAAATACGTAGAAAATCTTACATTATTTCCTTTTTTTTAGATTAAACTTACCGTAGAACTTGTTCGGCGTTTGGCTGTAATGGGTGTTGACTGGGTTACATTGCATGCACGAACACAACATCAACGTAACAGAGATCCGGCAGCATGGAATATTGTTCAAGAATTAGTCGATTGTAAAATTAAACATTCCTCTGTAGGCAGTGAACTACCCATTATACTAAATGGGGATATTCGTGAACTGAAAGATGCATATCATGCCTATGAAATGACCGGTTGTCATGGTAAGTATTTTACTAGAAATAAGCTGATGATAGAACGATCATATTACGAAGGTTTATTTTTGTATCTCGACTGTACCTTTCACCCGTCCACATGTAACAGTAATATAAATAATTGAATAGAACAAGAACAAGAGTTTGTGCAGAATATAATGATACCATCATTTATTTCGTTGGCTTCTCATCAGTCGTTCACAGCCTAAATAAATGATTAAGTTTGTGTACAGGAAAGTTTTAGCATACTTGCAAAATTTAAATGATGTCAGTTGACAGGGGGTCCCAAATTTGATGAACAGAAAATTACACTTACATAGTTTTTATACAAGGAGTAAAAGTTCAAACAAAGTTGGTGTATGTATACAATACATTACAATGCTAGAGAAGTCACGTAATAGAGAGGAGAGGGGCATAAGATGATGAGTGACTAATAAATTGCGTAACAATGTACTATATCCAAATGGGGTGAGGTTAAAGCCAGAGATTACGTAGAGTGAAAAAGGGAGCAAAGACATTCAGTTAGCAGGACAAGGAAAAGCTGATAAATGCTTTCTGAACGCATAAATCGGGATTTCAGGCACTTGATGGGGATTGCTTTGGTAAACTTGAGGCTAGTTAAACTTTTGCCTATTGACAATTTTGAACGATCTCGCGACATCCACCTCATGACTCGTGTCAAGAAGATATCTGGCGATGACACTGTTTGAAGCATTTGTTCCCTTTAGACATAAGATTTTTGGTACATGTTTAGAAAATCGGAAGTGTGCCCTATTCTCTGTTCTTCCAATATAACTATTCCGGGAGATACATGTAGATTTGTGTATACAGTTGGAGCTAGCATGAGAAGGATATCTGTCGACTTTTGGTTGCAACAAAGAGCAAGTAGTTCGATAGACGGGGAGCAGCTTAGGCTTTGGCTAGTGACGTAATCAATCTTCTGTCGACTACTGCTGCAATATTTTCACCTTTAAAATCGAGATACATAAAGACAGGCTTTTTTCCCCACTATGATTTGTTTGACATTTGAGCTATCACATCTTCCATACTTCTTAATGAATCTCTGAGGGTAACCGTTGTCTTTCAATATCTTTTCGAGAATCATAAATTTTTCTCTGATTTCTCTGTAGGACGCATATTCTGCTAGCTATGTAGTACAGAGTCTTGACTAGTGCTTGTTTATAGTTATTTGGACAAAAAGTGCTAAAGTGTAGGCATTGTCCATTCCATGTGCGCTTTCGGTAAACTGACCTCTGGAGACTACCATCTTCCAGGCACTGCATGGCAATGTCGAGCAAAATGGAAATTGATATCATTTTCATGTTCCATAGTAAATTCAATATTTGTATGTGCGTCGTTGAATAATCCGAGTAGGTAGGAAGCATGATTTTGATTGTAGCACACTACAAATGCGTCATGGACATATCGACAATAAGAAATTGTTTCGTCAATCGCATGTTTCAACTTTGTTTTCTCAAGATTAAACATGAAGATATCTGCTAAAACAGGGCTAAGTTGACTTTCCATAGCTACACCATCTATTTGGCGATAAAGAGTGTTGTGAAACTGGAATTGTACTTCCATGCTACACACTAGCAGTAGGCGTTTGAACTTCGACTCTGGAAGTGGGAGAAGATCAGAATACTAACAAATCATCTCGATCGCTTTGTTGATTGGGATCATTGTGAACAAGGAAGTTGCACGGAATAACTCTCTTAACTTATTTGAAACGTTCATTTGGTTCATGCTTTCGACGAACTAAAATGAGCTGTTGACGAATGGTTTCCAACGTCTCTACAAGCTAGTGAACAACCATTTGCTGAGGCGAGTTGATCATCGGAAGTATAGGTCTCAGGGGGACTTATTTTTTGTGTGTCTTTGGAAGATCATACATGTATGGCAAACGAGACCCTCAGGGTTTTAAACCACTGTAAGCATTTTCGTCAGTCAATTTCTTCTTCTTTAGAAGTCTATCAATACGCTTGTGATGCGTTTTCAGCTGCATCTATCTTGTCTTTCTGTCGGTTTTCAACTGTAAATCTCAACGGGTCATTTAACACAGTTTTCATCTCTGCATCGTAGTCATCTTTGTCCATAAGCATAAACTATTGTTCCTGCTTTATTAAAATTCATAAAGGGGAATACATGTATTCAGACTATAAATATCATTGGATAAGCAGTTGGTGACATTTTGACATCCCATGGTAAACCTGAGACAACCGGTCATGTTTCAAACCCCATATCGGTGTGTCGTGTTTGTATCTTCTCTCTTTAACTGGTCTCAGAGAAAATATATACTTAGCGACGTCCGTAACGTGTTATATTTCTTGGTTGGTCTTAAGGCAGTATTTGACTTCTTTGATCAACAAGTGTCTGATTGCGAATTCATTAAGAACTGAGCATACTGCACTGATCAAAACACTTTACTCTAAATCAGGCAGTCATTTAAGAGTTTAATTTTTGGTGCTGACGTAATATCTATCTATCCGTCCATCAAAGGGCATGTATAGTGTGTGGCAGTTCGATTTGTTCGATTTTACGGATGCAGAATCATCAGACTTTTTCTATTTATATTTTTGTAGTAGTTTGTCAAATTGATCATGCACCGAAGTAATCAGATAAAGCTTAGTAACTAATTGTGCCTTACAGTGACAAGTAGAAGAAAATTTCGGTGACTTTGGATACGATATTGATGTCTGAAATAATCCCACGTTAACCTGATACGTCAGTGTCCAAATAAAATAAGTCTGACATGTTATGCACCATAACCAAACTTTGCTTAGTTTACCTCGGATGGAAGGTGGGCTAGTAACCCCATCGCTACTGAAACATCAGTGAACAGCAAAAATGAACTTGTTCTCTGCTACAATAGATAAGGCTCCCCAATTCGAGGACTGGTGACTCCAGTGGGTGAAGGCTTTCGAAAAATAAGTAGGCCCATAGACCTTTCTATGACAGCCAACGTAATCATGTGAATATGGAGTGTCATTCTTGAAGTTGGCCGATGTGGCTGCTCAGATTGCAGGAAAGATGACGAGATAGAGCATATAAGTGCTAGGAATGTGTGAGAAATGACGGAAAAGAAGTTGACTATACGAATTGGTAATCGTAGGAGGGTCAGTAATCTATTCGTGTCAGCCAAATGATAACTATGTATACCTTCGAACTAGCTAGGATGATTCCATATTAGTTTGTTTATTACATGTATCACACAGTGAAACGGTATTATTTACTGGATAACGTTTCGAACAAAATTTATTGTTCATAATCATATCAATTGTAATCACACGACTTTGAATCTTGAGTTTTATAGGTTTTTGGCTTCTCCTATTTGTCGTAGGGGTAGTAGAATTTTACAGATATCTGGGACAGGTGTTGAACCATTCCTATTAAATTTATTTGCGGTTGATTCGATAAACAAGGCTTGTATTATCAATCTCCCCCTATACCCTGTGACATTAGATTTTAAAACTGTCATCCTATCCCATCCTATTGTGTGGTTGTGTGTAACTGCATGTAGTGCTATAGCTGAACTATTCTCTAGATTTCTTATCTTATTCGGGTCAACCAATCGAGATTTCGCTAGGTTTTTATGCTCAGCTAGTCTGACTGCCCCTGTTCTACTAGTTTGACCTATGTATTTGACCTGACAATCATTACAGGGTATGAGATAAACTAAATTGTTTTGTTTTAAAGGCTCCACAGGATCCTGTAAGCGACAAAGCTTGTTTCTAATTGAGTTTGTGGGTTTGAATGCCATTTTTATTCCTGCCTTGTTAAGAATTCTGCGTAAGGCTTCCGAGGTTCGTTCCTTTTATGGAATTACCACTGATGATTTAGATTCCTTATTCTTGGTGTTGTCTTGCGCATATTTGACATTCATGTCGTCATTATTATTATTATTATTATCACTATCGCTACTATCATTATTTATTTTATTTTTACATTTCCTTACATATTTTTTGATTAATTTATCAGGGTAATTATTAAGTTTCAAAGCTCTTTTTATGTGTATCACTTCCTGTCTTAGATTTTCCTTGGTACTACTTAGTTTTTGTGCTCTGTCATTTAAACATTTCACCAATCCTATTTTTACTGACATAGGATGGGATGATCGGAAGTCTAAATATCTGTTTGAGTGTGTGGGTTTCCTGTAAACACTAGTGTTTAACTTCCCATCTTCTTTCCCCTTTACGTTGCAATCTAGCATTGGAATCTGCCCTCCCTTACTTTCCAATTCATAAGTGAATTGAATTGCCTCCACCTTTGAGTTAATGTGTTCGAAAAATCTATCTATATCCTGTGTTCTAAGTACAGTGAATGTGTCATCTAAACACCTCCACCATACTTTTGGGGTTGGGGTGAACGTTTCAATTGCTATGTTTTCCCACCTATCCATGAATATATCTGCTACAACTGGGGATATTGGTGATCTCATGGCAACTCCCTCAGTTTGTTTGTATACTTTCCCTTGGAAATTCAATACTGTGGAAGTCAAGCATAGCTGTACTCCCAGCATTATGTCCTCAAGTGGCACTTTTGTCCTAAGTTCTAGTTCTTGGTCAGAAATTAGATGAGCTAAGATGATGTTTTTCAAACAACATGAAAAGGTCTAATGCATTGTAAACCAGTCTCCTTTAATACTGTGAGGGTAAGTTTCAACTGTGAACGTGAAAGAAATTCACAATTACACAATGCAACACACCTACAAACAAGAAAGATTAGAAGAAGGACTTCCACAGGCAGCTGTAAGCAGCAACTGACAATACACACCCACCAGGTAATTGAAAACAAGATTACACTGAATGATGTAATTAGGTGACTGCAAGCAGCATTTACAAGAACAAAGATATTCGCTAGGTGAATTAAGTCTTACTAGATAATACACACACACACTAAAAATCAGACAAACTTAATCCCAATTTCGGAAAAATCGGACAGTCTGCATGAAAAAAAACCCGAGAGGAGTGGATATAGGTGCAGATCACTATCTAGTTCAGGGAGCCTTCTGGGTCAAGTAAGTGGCCTTCAAAGAAGCTGGAGATAGACCGCAACATCTCTGTTTCCACATTCAGAAAATGAAGTTTCACAGGTCACTTACACCGCAGGCATCAGCAAACAGATGGGGACATTAGGCGATATTGCCGAGGCAGCGTGTATAGAAGGACACTGAAACATGGTTAAAGCTGACTGCAAGAAAGTGTGTGTAAACATTCTAGACAACTGTGTACAACTAAAACCCTGATTTTGCAGTGGAAGTCAAATGACACGTTTCAGTTTTCTGTAGCTTTGGATAGCATTAACTTATCAGGTACCTCTTAAGCTACTGAATGTATTTTTTTGATATAGTTTATTTATAAGCGTACCTTAAAATGATTACGTTATGTAGTAATGATTGAGTGGTGAGAAATTAAACTGCATTGATTCCCTGCATTACGTTTATTGTTGTACATAACATATGAAGAATTCACGATGTAGTAAATCTTTTCTTTTTTTTGAAATTTTTGTTCCCAGGTGTTATGGCTGGCAGAGCTTTACTAAAAACACCCTATTTATTTGCACCGAACTGCATTGAAAGCGAGAATTCGCTCTATCATTTGTACGAGAACTGGTTACACTTATCTGCACAATACACAGGTGGCACAAGCTTTGCTATTATTCACCAGCATGCTTATTGGATGATGGAGCAGCATTTGGACAAAACGAGGAGATTATTCTTAAATAATGTAAGGTGTTTTGCAGGTCTAGTGGATTGGCTTTCTGAACAACGAACGGCATTGAAAACAACCACCTAAATACTGATAGTTGTACAGTTTTTGATAATAAGTTACCAAACAATTTTGTGAAGAGATATTTGTATACATAACCTTTTTTTATATTTTACTGGATTTTCAAATAAAAAAAATATTTCAAAAAATGCATTTTTATCAAGCGATTTGTATAACTATCTGCCACAGCTTTTAATTACGTGCTGCGTGGTGTTTGGTGTCAAACTTCGCATTACGAACACATCGCTTCTTAGTCAATCTAAATAATGTAGGATCTAATAAGAATAATTGGATATTATCGTCAGGTCAGTCATCTTCGTGATTGAACAATTACAACATACATGCTTTGTTATGACTCTAAAGTAATCAGCTAGATGTGACTCATGCGGCTAGATATTCAACTATCAAATATTTGGTTTTAATCTTGCTCTGTATGCGATGGTTTACAGAGTACGCGGTATTATTTAATGGTTAACGCACCATAGAAGTCACTATTTGTCCACTACATAGAACTGTATGATGTTTTCCTGTTGCGAGCTTATTGCGATACAATATTACTTGTTCATAAAATTGGCCAGTCATGTGAAACGAAAATTGTATACTCAGAAGGTGTATGACGAATAGTTTAACTGATACCCAATGTAGTGCTTGCCTGTGTTCCTGTTGCAATTGCATAAATGTTCCTAGTCACCGCCCCGTACAATTTCGAATCAGTGACAACTAGGATCCTCATAAAGAGTAACTACGATAGGTGTCAGTAATCCGAGTCGAACAACAGGCCTCACTAATAGGAACTCTGCAATCTCCAGCCATGGATGTATGGCGTATTTCAGACGCCTACGACTGAACAGACAGGAAACAGAGAGCTATAAAGCTGACACACCCCAAACTTTATGATAATACGAATTCTTTACCGAAGGAAGAATTAACTAAATGCTTATTCGGGAATGACTGCAAGAGTGATCCTGAGGATGCCTGGTATAATATACCGCCAGTCGTAGAAACACTGATAAAGGCTGTTTACAACGTAGAAACAAGGGTTGGTAGGTGCCGATTGATTTCTGTTTCTTCATCCAAACAGATTTCAGGTAAAAAGAAAGAATCAAACGGTTGAGCGAGATGATCACTTCATATAATTAGAAGTTGCAGCAAGACAAACAGAGTGATCACTGATGAAATCTTAGCACAGATAAAACGGCTCGTCTGAAATATAACAGCTTGAGTCATCTCTGGCGTAGACATGATATCTAGCTATCGATTAGAGGACGATTAAATCGACCATCAGTTAGTTCTAACTTTCTTTACGGATATGAGATCTGGCCATCAGAATTAGAAGGGTTAAGAGGTCAGTTTTACTTCATCAGTGCTGTTGCATCCTAATTTCCGTGCGGAATGCTTTAATATAGTGAGAAATATTAGGGTAAGGGGTAGTGATATGTAGGGAGAAAAAATAGTGGAAGGGTTTGTGCAGACACATTCAGTGAGGTGGTTTCGAGACAAGTGGAAAATATGCACCCAGCTATACACCAAGAATATTCGTAACGAAAAAATACTTAAAAAAATGTGTAAACAGATAATAAAAAAAGAAGACGAACAAAAAAAAGGGATTATAGTACACAGAAAAAAAATATATCCAAAGAGACTGCAGTAATCACATTAAGGCCGATTAGATTTGAAAGGCAACTGAAATAGTCAAGAAGCTGAGGATGTAAGGGGGACATGGAGGACATCAATTGAAGAGGAGATGAGAGCTTGTGGAGACAGCTGAAAGTGATGGGACGGAACAATTTCTATGTGCTGCTGAAGCCGTGTGTCCAAATCGGAGTGCAAGGAATGAATAGTAAGTAGAAAGATACCACATACACAGACAGCGAAATTGGCATTATTCCGCATCGGTCGAAGTTGGAACAACAAATTTGTGAGTATCATTGAGAGTGAGAAAAAGTGGATGATAGGTATGGGGAAAATAAAAGCTCAGTTCAAATAAAAAGAGGAAGAAAAAAAACAGAAAAAGAAGAAGAATAGATAATGAAGACAAAAATATGGCGGATAATCAAGAGTAAAATAAGGCGTGAATACATCTGGGTGACAGACATACATTTTCAGCCAAACCGCCTGCAGTCATCGCATTAATGCCAATTCGATTTACAAGGTAAGTGAAATAGTCGATGCAATCAACTACTCGACTCCACATAGCCAAATGGATTATCTATACAGACCGGTACTAAGTTGACGTTTCACACTTGTGATAAATGCAATGCAAACATTCTGTGTTTGTCACCGGAAATGTTTGGGAGATTCTGGATTTTTCAGTCTCTTCGCCCAACAGAACAACATTATCTGCGTACTTTGACCCGATTAAAGTGTTTCCCGTGAGGATATCAATCTCTGTGAAGCGAGAAGGGAATATAGGGCCGTCAAAAGACACATCTGTTATCAGGTTTCGCAAAATCAAGTGTGGAAATCCTTCACCAATACCGCTGGAAGCAGACAGCCCACCATGCTCTTCAATGAGGAGAAGACGAGTGTTCAAATATACGGGCTTCAGTGAGCAGATGTACTCGCTGGGTCTCGATTCCGATGAGTGAGTGGTAGTGCGATTGGACTTGACTGACAGTGCCTTATGCCACATTCATGTGAAGAAATAAAGGTGTCGGCCCAGTTTTCCCGGAGATTTTCATCTTTAGCCGTGATTAAGCCTCCTACTACTGTGCACTTAAGACTGTAGAAACTCTGAAGTTACTGAAAGCCAACCCAGAACGCAGTGGGATGAAATGGAGTGTCCCCATCCAGAAGCACTGAAAACCAACTCAGAGACCTCAGGTGGACATACTCATGTTACTACTACAGACGGTGTGGAAGAAGGAAAGGTACCTGACTATTGGAAGAAGGCTACTTTGTAACACTGTCAAAGAAGGCCGACTTGAGCCTATTCATTCAAGAACTGACGCTGAACCATTCTCATGTCCACTTCAAGCAAAACGCTGAACCCCCTCATCCATGAAAGACATATAAGATAATGTGAGTAGGAAGACTTCGTTGACTTCAGGAGAAACAAGTCTCATCCGCTGACCGAATTGCAGCACTACACATCATCGCTAGACAGATGATAGAATGCCAGTCAACTCGTTACTTGAACTTCGTCGACTTTGTAGAGGTCTTCGAGGGCGTCGACAGTGAAGGCATTTGACAACTACCTCAACACTATGGATTCCAGTGCCTCAAGCATTTATAAGCCTCATTCAACTGCTATTCAAGCACGCCCCATACCACGTTATTCACAATCGAAAGCCGATTGAAGGCTTTGAAGTGAAGACAGGAGTAAGACAAGGCTGTCTGCTATCACCAATGGTCTTTCTAATTGTCTTGGACTGGATTGTTCGCTACTCCGTCAGAGTCAGAAGACAAACATTCGTCGGGACAACTGAAAGTTATAAGATCATAATTTTTAACACTCATGTCAAGTCAGTGCTTGTATCCGGTTCAGAGACTTGACGCACACGTCACGAACAGCATTTCCAACAGATGGGGGATAATCAAGAGTAAAATAAGGCGTGAATACATCTGGGTGACAGACATACATTTTCAGCCAAACCGCCTGCAGTCATCGCATTAATGCCAATTCGATTTACAAGGTAAGTGAAATAGTCGATGCAATCAACTACTCGACTCCACATAGCCAAATGGATTATCTATACAGACCGGTACTAAGTTGACGTTTCACACTTGTGATAAATGCAATGCAAACATTCTGTGTTTGTCACCGGAAATGTTTGGGAGATTCTGGATTTTTCAGTCTCTTCGCCCAACAGAACAACATTATCTGCGTACTTTGACCCGATTAAAGTGTTTCCCGTGAGGATATCAATCTCTGTGAAGCGAGAAGGGAATATAGGGCCGTCAAAAGACACATCTGTTATCAGGTTTCGCAAAATCAAGTGTGGAAATCCTTCACCAATACCGCTGGAAGCAGACAGCCCACCATGCTCTTCAATGAGGAGAAGACGAGTGTTCAAATATACGGGCTTCAGTGAGCAGATGTACTCGCTGGGTCTCGATTCCGATGAGTGAGTGGTAGTGCGATTGGACTTGACTGACAGTGCCTTATGCCACATTCATGTGAAGAAATAAAGGTGTCGGCCCAGTTTTCCCGGAGATTTTCATCTTCAGCCGTGATTAAGCCTCCTACTACTGTGCACTTAAGACTGTAGAAACTCTGAAGTTACTGAAAGCCAACCCAGAACGCAGTGGGATGAAATGGAGTGTCCCCATCCAGAAGCACTGAAAACCAACTCAGAGACCTCAGGTGGACATACTCATGTTACTACTACAGACGGTGTGGAAGAAGGAAAGGTACCTGACTATTGGAAGAAGGCTACTTTGTAACACTGTCAAAGAAGGCCGACTTGAGCCTATTCATTCAAGAACTGACGCTGAACCATTCTCATGTCCACTTCAAGCAAAACGCTGAACCCCCTCATCCATGAAAGACATATAAGATAATGTGAGTAGGAAGACTTCGTTGACTTCAGGAGAAACAAGTCTCATCCGCTGACCGAATTGCAGCACTACACATCATCGCTAGACAGATGATAGAATGCCAGTCAACTCGTTACTTGAACTTCGTCGACTTTGTAGAGGTCTTCGAGGGCGTCGACAGTGAAGGCATTTGACAACTACCTCAACACTATGGATTCCAGTGCCTCAAGCATTTATAAGCCTCATTCAACTGCTATTCAAGCACGCCCCATACCACGTTATTCACAATCGAAAGCCGATTGAAGGCTTTGAAGTGAAGACAGGAGTAAGACAAGGCTGTCTGCTATCACCAATGGTCTTTCTAATTGTCTTGGACTGGATTGTTCGCTACTCCGTCAGAGTCAGAAGACAAACATTCGTCGGGACAACTGAAAGTTATAAGATCATAATTTTTAACACTCATGTCAAGTCAGTGCTTGTATCCGGTTCAGAGACTTGACGCACACGTCACGAACAGCATTTCCAACAGATGGGGGATAATCAAGAGTAAAATAAGGCGTGAATACATCTGGGTGACAGACATACATTTTCAGCCAAACCGCCTGCAGTCATCGCATTAATGCCAATTCGATTTACAAGGTAAGTGAAATAGTCGATGCAAT